AACTAGTTTGTCACCAGTAACTTTAGATATTGTGACTAATGTTACTAAATAACTAGCGACAATTCATTTTTTTGGTGGAAAACTTGAGTAGATAAAACTATCACTACGAAATTTTTGTTTCTTCACTAAATGTATGTGCGTGTGCATTTAAGTACGACTCTAAATTTTGTTCCAAAAAGATAATAACAGTGATGAACTTTATATGCTACCTAATAATTTCATAGGTAAAATAGAGATGATACACCGATTGTCACTAATTTGTTTATGCTATTAGTGACAAAAACTAAGGTTGCAAAAAATATAAAACTTTTAGTGAGAAAACTATTTTGTAGCGAAAATATAACTAATTTTAAGACGAACAATTATTTATCACCAATTGTCTATAACATTAGTGACGAAACTAATTTATCACCAATAATATTAATTTTGTGGCTAATATTAATTAATATTTGGCGCCAATTCATTTTTTTTTTTGTGGGAAACTTTAGTAGACAAATTTTGCTATAAAATTTATGTTCTGTCACTAAAAGTATGTGCCTCATGTATTTAAGTACGAAATATAATTTTAGTCACAAAAAATGGATAATTAGTGACAAAATTTCTATTGTAGCTAATGTTTTCGTGGTTGAAAATCACACTTGTTGTAGTGGCTTCTTAGTTGAAGCACTATATATTTAAGTGTTAGGGTTAGAAAGTAATAAAATATTATTTTAGTGATACAGTATTATAGAAACTATAATACAATAGTTTAATCATAGTTTTTTAGTATACTATGTGTATATTTTAGTTTATTTCGTTTAATTGGTATAGTATATGTATATGAGTATAAATTGCTTTATGAAAAGTAGTGTAGCATGCATGTGTAAATGTGAAAGAAGCATAGGGAAGGTAAGACAATTAAACTAATGAGAGAGAATTGGAGGGAAAAAATTAAATTAAAAAATAAATCTGCTAAAGGGTATATCTGGAAAACGAAAATGCTTAAATATCCATTATGCCCTCAAAAGCCGTGCGAAGTTACCATAATACCCCCATTCTGGACATTTGGGCCATTCTTAGTTTGGCCAAATATATTTTCCGTTTTTCTGAAAGGTGCTTTTTTCAAAAGTACTTTTGGTGAAAAGTAGCTTGTATGGGCTAATTAATTTGAAAAGCACTTTTGAGCATTAATTAGTGTTTGGCCAAACTTTTAAAAACCGCACTTCCAAGTGTAGTTTTCTCAATAGTGATTTTCAAAAAAGTTGTGCTTTTGGAGAGAAGCTATTTTTTCTGCTTCTCCTCAAAAACACTTTTTTTCTTCCAAAAGTTTGAAACACTTCAACGTTGAAAAAAATACTTTTTTTTTTTTTGAAAAAAAAAAAGTGCTTTTAGGATTGGAGAAGTTTGGCCAAATAGGCTATTGATCTTCTATTTTACTAAATGGGCTTTTTTCACTTTTAGCCTGCACCAAAAATAATTCACATTTGATAGTTGAAAAAATGCATAAAATTTGTATAATTTTGTATATATGTCACGAACCAAAATCCACACGTCGTGATGACGCCTATCTCAATACTAGGCAAGCTGATAACCTCAATAAATCACAATAACCTTTTAAGTTTGAAAACATAATAATTAGATTTAATAGAAAATCTCACAAATACTGATACAAATACACTCCCAGTCTGACTGATAAAACACTGTCTAGAAATATAGAACAGTACAAATAACTGAAAGAAAAGAGTCTGCAGATGCCAAGCAGCTACCTCGATAGTCTCCAACAGATAAATCTCTAAAATCTAGCAGCCGTCGTATCTGGAAGTACTTGGATCTGCACACGAAGTGCTGAGTGTAGTATGAGTACAACCGACCCAATATACTCAATAAGTAACAAGACTAATCTTTGGGCTGAATGTAGTGACGAGCTCAACAGGTACAGTCCAATATAGAAATAACAGTACAGAAATGTAGGCATGCTTTCGGTTCTACAATTAAACTCAGTACAAGGAAGATAGATCAAATCTGAACAATATGAGGTATATGACACCTCTATGTCAACATGCCAATGTACATGTCGCATGTGATACAACATAATAAAAGTCTCACGTATTCATACTCTCAGAGTACTCAGTCACTCATTACTGTACGGGGTAATCCAGCCCAAATATAAATAAATAACTAAAATAAATAAGGCAACTCCATGCCCTGGGAAGATCAATCCCGATTAGAAATATCAATTGTGCTGACTGTGGGGGGATGCAGACTCCGGAGGGGCTCCTTCAGCCCAAGCTCTATATAAAGCCAATATGCCATATTGCGGCGTGCAGTCCGATCCCATAATAATAAATCCTATAAGGCCTGCTGCGGCATGCAACCTCGATTCGTAAATAATATATATAAAGCCAATATGGCCTGCTGCGGCATGCAGCTCGATCCCGTGATTATCCTCACAAATGGATTAACATGACCGAATATGAAATTTATATTTTTAAAATAATTAATTCAACAACAATATGACCCTTGTGGGTCCCAGAAATATCGGCAGGTAGCCTAAACATGATCTTTAATATGAGTCTCCACTCAATTCCTTTAAACATGAAGGTACTTGGATAATGCCAATGTTGTTTGACTACACAATTCCATGAAAGCAATTACACCATAATTTTAACGGTGCACGCCCACGTGCCCATCACCTAGCATGTGTGTACCTCCAGACAAATCACATAACACGCATTTTCGGGGTTTATACCCTCAGAACCAAGTTTAGAAATGTTACTTACCTCAAACCGTGCAAATTCTTTATTCCAATAAGCCTCTTCCCCGCGATTCCGCCTCTGAACGCCTCGATTCTATTCACAAATAATTCGATACGATCAACACAAATTATAGGAATCAATTCCATATGAAAATACTAAATTTTTCAACAGAAATCCGAAATTCAACTAAAAAATCAACACTGGGGCCCACATCTCGGAACCCGACAAAAGTTACAAAATATGAACGCCCATTCAACTACGAGTCCAATCATACAAAATTTACCAAATTCCGACATCAACTCGACCTTCAAATCCTCAAATCATATTTTCAAATCCATAGGCCCAAATTCTCGAATTACACCTCAAAAACCCATAATCTAGTCAAAATATCCGATGATAATTCAATATAATCGACTAAAAATGATCACAAGTGACTTACGTCAAGATTTCTCGTGAAATTTCTCTGAAATATCGCCCCAAGCGTGTTCTTTCATCCAAAAATGTTGAAATGAGCTAAAAAATAAAACTGCTCAATAAAAACACTAATTTGGTCGCTAAAAGTCCATTTCCTTCACTAAAGGTCCGCACCAGAACCTGCTTGCATTAACAATTTTTTTTATTAAAAAGACTCTAACTCCATCATACAAACTCGGAATTCGACGATTCTTGTTCCTATGAGTCACAAATAATAATATGAACCTAGTCGTTCAATCTAAACTCAATTCGGAGCTCATTGCTCAATGGGATACCAATTTTGCTTGTTAAACAATTAACTCATGTTTCGCACTAAAAACCCAATCGCAGCGTGATGCAATTAGACCAAACATTCCAAATCATTCCTATAATTCATTATCGAAATCCCGGAAGTCTCGAAATCGAATTTCGATCTCTAGAACTAAAAATGGACATTTGGATCATTACATGCTTATGCTAAAAACAATGTCAAAACACCAAACACGTTTAAAAAACCATCCAAAACTCATCCGAAGTCCCATGGGACCCCAACTAAGTATACTAACAAGTCTCATAATATGACACGAACTTAGTCAATGCCTCAAATTACATTAAACAACACTAAAACAAGAATCGCACCCCAATTCAAGTTTATTGAAAACTAACAATTTCAAAATTCTACATTCGCTGCCGAAACCTGCTATCAAATTAAGTCCGATTGACCTCAAATTTTGCACACAAGTCATAAATGACATAACAGGCCTATCAAAATTTCCAAAACTGGATTCCGAGTCCGTTATCAATAAAGTCAACTCCCGATCAAACTTCCAAACCTTAAATTTCTAATTTTGGCTATTTCAAGCCAAATTTAACTATGGACTTCAAAATCTATATCGGGACACACTCCTAAGTCAAAAATCACCATACGGAACCATCAAAATTGTCGTTTATACATAATTTATCGTCCGGACAATTATTTCAACTTAAGCCTTAAATCTTGGAACTAAATGTTCTGATTCATTTTAAAACCTCCCCGACAAGTCACGTAACTATAAATAAACACGGAATAAGCAGTAAATGGGGGAATGGGGCTGTAATACTCAAAACGACCGGCCGGGTCGTTACAATATAACATACAAAATGTATATACATACAAAAAATATACCTTTTTTGACTATTATTTTGAGAGTGGCTGTACAGTGACATTTGTTGCAGTAATCGCAATTACTTCTTTATAGCAGAAGCTTTTGTTAAATGTACTAAAATAGAAACATGACCTTTCTTTCAACAATGGGATGGTGACACAATGTTTTCTCCTCAGTTCTATAGATCGTTTATACAGCAATGAGTCATGTAATAATTCAGATTCCTTACTATTTCTAGCTACATTTCTTGCTAATCGATATCGAGGTTTGTATCATTTCTGTGTTATTGATCTTAATGAGCCAATTTAAATACTGTTATGGGTGAATTTGAGGCACATTGGAGGTGCATGGGACGGTTTTGGATGATCTAGGGTTGATTGAAGTGATTTGGGAGTTAAACGAAAGGACTGAATGATGAAACATCAAGTTAGACGCAACACGAATTACAGCTCAAAAATAATTCATAATATAACATTTTTGTAAATATCAATGCAAGCTAGCGTAGACAAATGGTTTATACATGTCATGCTTAAGAGTCGAAATGGTTTACATTTGGATTAAAAGGAATACATATTTTAGCGAGGGGAGGAAAAGTGAAAGTGCCTTCTAAAAGACTTCTGGCTATCAATTTATAGGCAGCTTCTGTAAAATGCATTCCATCCCAACTAGCATACAGTGAAGTGTCACTGCAAATATTTCTTGCTGGTGGATCCCCACATACTGCAGAAAATTTAAAATTGTATGGCCCTCCTGCTCCACAACATGCATCTAAAGCTCCTTTTGTAAAACCTGTAGTAAATTTCATAATTAATTATAGGATTTTCTTATATTAATATATATATATATATAGATATATAGATATATATAGATAGTGTAAATTATATGACCAATAACTCATTGATTTTTAATAATGTACACAAAAATACCATTATATTTCCCATCTATTTGGCAGTGGAATTTTTACTTGTGTCACTTAATTTGTGAATTTGAATATAGATAGGTTAAAATCCTTAAATATGAAGACAGTTAAGTGCTCCAAAGTGAACAGTCAATTTTTTGTCAATTCAAAGCTCAACTAAAATTATTTGGAATTGTTGATTATAATGATTATACATTTCCTAATAAAGAAAGAAAATTACCATGGCTCATTGGAGAGACATAAAATTGCCTGGCTGCATTGTAGTAGTCAGCATAGATGATTGTAGCAGAAGGATAAAGCTCTCTAAGAAGATGAAGTTCCTAGCATGGGTTACTAACCAAAGAAAGTATTTTATCTTGTTTGGCGATTTTTGGCCCCAAACCCAGTTGAAATCTTTCCCATAGTTGTGATCCTGATGATGGCTCAGACTTCTAATGAGGGTATATGCAATTTTTGTTGAAAAGAGCCCACTACCAGTTTGGTTCCAAACCATGCTATCCAGATTCCCATAATTAGGATTAACAAAGATAGAATTGATAGTAGTAACTACCTCCTCAGGAGGTCAAATGAGATATTACTAATGTCTCAGTAACCCTCATTATAGAATGAGCCTACATTCAAACTCTCATCTCCTACGTTGAGTGGACTACTGATAATAGAGTTTCCATACAAGGGATCCATCTGTCACCATAAAGGTTAACTTTATCCCCCTTATGTACTACCCACTTAGTAGCCTTACTACAACATATACCAACCATTTTTGATATTTTGCCAAGTCCTAGAGGCAACATGCCTAGAAGGGTTCGTGCTAGTACAATGCTTATTATAAGTTATCCTTAGTAGAATAAAACCCCATAAATCAGTCCTTTATATTTACTCAAAGCTCCATCCGTTTAATTTTATCACTAGAAAATTAAGTATGGCTGATTCAATGGTAAAAAATCCTAGTTTTGGATTATGCAGTTTCACTTTGCAATTCCTACGTGGACGTTGGTTTATGATGTTTGCTTCATTCTTGATTATGGCTGGACAAGAATGATAATAGTACTATATCCCACAGGTAGTAACCCATGCTAGCAAAATATATCGGACAAGAATGATAATAGTACTATATCCCACAGGTAGTCTTTTTGGTATTGTTCTTAATTACCTGTATAGCTGAGCTAATAGTGTTGATGACTGCTGGAACATATGATTCAACCTCTTCCTTAGTGCTATTTCCAAGAAAACCATAGTTGAAATCATTGCCTCCAATTTCTCCCACCAATATCAATGACTTCTGTAGAAATTCCTTGCATTCTACGTGCGATAAAAAGAATTGGTAACTGACAAATGTTGAATAAAACTTATACTAACACATTATAAGTGCCTTTAATATTTGTTTATGCCTTCTTAACTCGTGATCATTATTATGTTCTTTGCAAATAGCAAATCGTTAATTCTTCTTTCCAAGTATAGTATAAATTAGATATTAATTAATTTTATACTACTTTTATATATCTCAGTAAAGACATTATTACCTTTTTGGTTCATCCAAATTAATTGAATCTCTTTCCTGATGTGGAACTTTTTACTCAGACAATTCAAACTTGAATTATTTAGTATGTGTGCTGTATACACCTAAAATTTAACAATACAAGTAAATCAAATTTAACAGCATTGTTTACCCTGCCCACCACCTTATCATGACCTTGACCGCCTAGAGCAGGGGTGGCTCAAGCACATGTGGGGACTAAAGCCAAAGTTTAATGTGAGGCCCAAAATTTTAAAAGTACGGTTGAATGCTTGAACTAATAAAATCATGAAGAAAGAAGATGAGTAATAAAATCTGGGATTAAAGAAAGAAAGTGAGTAAGAATATAAAAAAGAAAGACAGAAAAAATGTAGGTGTTTCTCAAATATGAAGAGATTGAGGAAAAGAAAGATTGATTTGGACAAATTAAGGAAGATAAGTAAAAATTTACAATTTATTTACTGAATGAGTAAAAAGTAAAATTGTCAAATCAACTTAAAATATATCGTTGAGAAAACTATTCATCTACCTATTTTTAAGTAAGTCAAAAGGTTACTTTATTGATATATCTAAAAGGTTTTATTACATTTTATATGAAAAATTATACTTTTTGTATTAAAAATTCTAAATATTTATTAAAAAAATACCTATAAACTTATTATTTCTAAAAAAATAGTAGGGACCCCAATTTTTGGAGCCTAAGGAATGAGCCTTACTTGTAATAAAATTACAGGATCGACAACAATAAAGATTTTCAAATGTAGATATATTTACGTACAAGTTAAATTTATGAGTAGTTAAGCTAAAAATGTGTTGTTTGACAATGATACGTGCGCTAATCCTCATTGATGGCCATTACTTTCATTAACTACTGCCGCAGGTATCCACCTAATGTTTAACCAATATTTGTGCATTTCCGTTTTTTTCTTTAGTGTTTTAGCGATATAATAATACTAGTACTTTGTTAACGTGCATTCATTGCCGTCTAATTTCTACTTTCTCAACAAACTGAAAAGGACTCTATCAATCGTCGTCATCTGTGACAAGTTCTCAGCATATCGGTCTATTCTTGCAAATGTGGATATTGTAGTTTTTAGGGAATATAAGGGAGGAATATTCACTTTTGCGGCTATCAAATGTAAATGGTTTTGGCAGCGGGTTGAAAGTGATCTTTGCCATATAAGAGACGTCACTTCGGGAACATCTCTAGGCGTATGCAGTGTAGAAGGTATGGGTTCAACCGAACCCATAGCTTTTGCTCATACACTGTATTTTTGCTCAAAAATTATTAGATATGTGCAAATAATATATTTTGAACCCATTAAATTAGATGAGATATGGTAGAATTGCGAATTTGAACCCATAAAGTTTAAATTTTGGATCCGCCTTGGAAAATATCCGATAAAATTGGAACGGCACCGAGAAAATTAGCATGGCCCGTGGGCAACAATAAAAAGAGAAAATGAAAAAAAAAAGGAATATAAGAGAACTTCGACCTCTTTTATATTCAAGGTAGGTAATCCGTTGCAAGCTGATGAAAGAAAAATTCAAAAGAAGTAACATCTCCAATCATATCCTAAATAATAATTATTTCATGCCATGACGACCTTGGAATGATTAGGGTAACAATTTTTATATTGGATAATACTTTCAATGCGGTCTTTGCAAAATCATCGTACTCTGCAGGAACATATGACTCCTTGAATATATGCCAATTTAGGAATAAAGGAAATGTGATTAAGAAGTTGTATATGTTGTCCGCAATTAATTCTTTCAAATCAAGAAGTATTGTAATTCGTAGAAACCTAACTATGAGATTTTCTTAGAGATTAATAAAGCAGGCAAGTGGATAATACTACCTGAAGGGAATTTGCAAAGGGCAGAGAGCATTTCTTTGAACCAACCCATTTGAGTCCCCAAAGACACATTGTTACCGGGCCTTACTCCCTTTTCCAACAAGTAGGCATAATCAAGTGCTGTTGCTCCTCCCACTGCAAAATTCACACCTTGCTTGAAATTTTCTTCTTTTCCTCCCAAGTATGGTGGCACTAATGGGAGTTCCAAACTCTCAGCTACAAATCAATCAAGAAAAAATAAACAATTAAAAATACTATTTATGTGAATTTTTGGAGTACAAATTTGAAAAATTGTACGTACCAATAAAATCTATAACAAGACGGCCATCGGAAAACCGACAGGTGGGATGATGAAAGAAGGTTTCACCATAAGGTCGTACGGCGAAATGGGGAAGATGAGTTTTATTTTGAGAGAGATGAAGTCTATTTCCGGTGTCAGCAAGCGAATCCCCGAAACTAATAATGGAATTGAAGCATCCCTCAGTGGCTTGAAAAAAGTTGAATACTAAAAAGATGCAGGCAATTGAAGTGTTCCAAAAAAATATAATTTTAAAGATGAAGAATGAGAAGATGAATAAGAAGAAGCCATGACACAAACCAACGAACGGCTTTTACCCCAGGAGAAAAAGGCACATAGATTCTTAATTATAACGTTGAAATTAGTCGCCAACTAGGCTATTAACAATGTGACCAATCAGGTTACGCCAACTAGGCTACAAATATATTAATACTCCATATGAGACCAACTATAAGTCGTCCTTGTAAGGAGTAACACAATAAATAAGATTTTTTTTAAATAACAAACTAGGATCTGTAATGATTTCTTTTTGTTCGCTGATGTAGCACTTTTTTGTAAATTTGGTAACATCTCTTTTTCTTTCTAAATCTTTTGTAAGACCTCGACAGTCTATTTCCAAATTCTGTTTGATTTATATTACAGTCTTATAGGTTTAGTTTTTGGCCAATATTGTCCCTTATTTTTGAGAGTAGGTCTATTTTGGTCCCTCCAATATAACCCTAAGCATATTTAGTCCCTTAAGTATGCTAAAGTGGAGCACCTTTAGTCTCACTGATAGAATCTATCCAAGATTAATTACGGGTTTGGTTTCGAAACTCATCGTCTTTTTAATTTGCTTATCGAAAATATTTTATAAACCAACACACGCTAATAGTACAGAGCTGATAAATTTAAGATTTTAGCGTTGAAACTTTACTTTTAAAAATTTCGGTTGAAAGAAATAGAGCTGCCAAGATCACATCTAGGCATATTATTGAAGCAAACGAATAACCAGATAGTATTATCACTTCTAGCCTGTGCCAAAAACTATTTACATCTGGTAGCCGAAAAGGTATATAAAATATATATATATATATATATATATATATATATATATATATATATATATATATATATATTTTCAGTTATTATTTTTACAACGGCTATACAGTGTCATTTTCTCATTGAAAACTTGCACAAAAGTAGATATTTTCAAGTTCAAAATTTTAGAAGACATTATCTATAATGAGTAATTAAAGTGATAATTTACATTATCCAATAAAAGGAGAGGAAACGTTTTTCTTCAAAGCAGAAGATTTGCTTCATGAATCAGAGTTGGTTAACACCGTTAATTTTTGAATACATTCTGTCAGTGAGACTAAAGGTGCTCCACTTTAGCATACTTAAGGGACTAAATATGCTCAATGTTATATTTGAGAGACCAAATATACCTACCCTCAAATATAAGGTACAATATTGGTCAAAAACTCCTTGTAGGTTTAATATAATCTTTCAATTTTTCATGTGAAATAATGGCGGATAATTTTACTCAAAATTGTGATATTACTGTAAATAAAACGATGCAAACTTCAATGCACTAAAATAACATTTTCATTTTTCTGATGTACTTACTACTGAGTACTGCCAAAAAAGGACGAACTGCATATGCAACAAGCACATGTGTTAAACATGGACTTTGTATAATGCCTTCTGAAATTATCGCAGTTATAAAATAATAGAAAAAAGAGCACGAGATGTAGAGAGAATAGCAGATATATATATTTTTATTACAATAGAATTTGATGTAATTATGATATGGGAGTCTTTTGTTTATAGGAGAAGAAAATCTTGTTTTCCAAAAGAGTTAATGCTAAAACTTAAGGAAAGAATAAGCTACAATGTAATTTCTTTTTCACCAGAAAAAATGAACCTCCATTAAATAGCTTATTCATAATATTCCTTGTTATTAGGTGTTCCTAATACAAAGAATTCGCTGCGTTAAAATTTTACTAGGAAAAAATTATACGGGATAAATAAAAAGTAAAGTACAAACAACATTTTCTGTGAGTAGTTGAGCTCAAAATAATACAGTCTAACATACAAAGATGAACCAATAACATGCAAACATTAATATATTTCATTAAAACCTTACTAGGAAAGAATTATGTTGATAAAATAAAAATTACACAAAGTTCAGGTTGTAGCACACCCAATTAAACTTTTCTATGAATATCGTTTTCCATTCCACACTCAGGCTGACATTTTTAACCAAATTTTAAAACAGAAATTTCTAAAAGGTATAAAGTCGACCTCCTTTAAATATTCCTATTAGTTTTCCTCTTTATTCATCCAACTTTGTTGAAATCCAAAAGGGCAAAAAGAAAGCGGAAACAAATTAAATGATACTTATTAGAAAGAGGAAGTGTTAGGAGTTTCTATATAAAGTCAAACAGACAACGTGGTGTTTGTGGATTGATTAAAAGCATCTTATGGGAAAGGAAAGGGAAGTGCTTGCCATTTTCACAAGGCAAGGCAAGAATTCATATATTCGTTTTGAACAATTCTCACTTATTTTGTTTTTTGGAGAATATTGAACGTCACTATATGACATTCAAATTTCTTTATTCAATCTATTTTGGTTTTCTAATAAAAGTTCTTCGACACGAGTCACTATCAAGGTTGTAACAAATTAATGATGCTCCTTTCCGTTTAGATGTCTTACTTTCTTTTAGTCTGTTTTAAAAGGTATTTCAGTTTTTATATTAAACTAAGACACCTTAAATGAGATGGAGGAATTACTATTTTGCTAAAAAGTCAACAAGTTTGCCATTGCTTTGAAGTATAGTTGCTTATATTTGGGATACTCAACGAAATTATGAATAAGCTTCTATCCTTTTCGTGTTCCTCTTCTTCAAACTCAAATTTTCTTTTTTCAAAGATGCAATTACCTAATATACCTGCAATTGGATTATTTTCACTCCAATGCATGCGATTAGTTCCTATTTCCCGCTTTAATAATCAGAGTCCACATTGTATACGGTCGAAACAGGGTTCGTCTATCGTATGACCAGTCGAGATTGAAACATGACAGGTCAAAGCTCGACCCTGGATTATATCGAACCAAGGCGAAGTTAAATTGTTGAGCTCGTGACTCCGGGACCGAACAAGATCGAGGGAACTTTGTCGAGCCAAATAACGGAAGGCCGAAATATCTACGATCGGTTGGAGATCACGGCGGAGATCTCGACAAGTATCAAGGAGAGGCCGATTAATTAGCAAATCATGAGATTTTTTTAGCTTTTATAGAATTGTATCAAGAGTATGACTCCCCTACTATATAAAGGGAGGTTTGATCATTTGTAAAATACACTGTAATACGCACCAAAAAGCAATACACTGTTATTTCTATTTCTTATCATCTTATTATTCTGTTCTGATATCGGTGGAGGCATTTCGTGGCTCGAAGGTGATCAAACTCCAAGGCTAAGGCTATCCAATTGGTGTGGTTTGCGTTTATTTTCTTATCATTAATTTCAGTATTAATCTATTTTCTTAATTTGTATCAAGTTATATCACGTATCCTTAAAATCGCATATAAATTCAATTGTTATCTGATTTTGAGGGTAAACAGTTTGGCGCCTACCGTGGGACTAAGGATAATAGTGGTTACTTGGTACAAACTTTCATAAAACACATTATTTTACACTTGTTATTTGGAGTATCTTTGATTCCAAGACTAAAATATCGAACTCTCAGTCAGTACCCTTGCACGTTGACAATGATTTCGTCCACCACGACGAAAATGATATCATAGCACCGGGGAACAACGCCCTCGGTTGATCTCGATGGAGTCTCGGTTGTAGATCCAATCGATGTTAACTCACATGGAGCCATCAACACAAATTTGGCTGCTGATCCCGAAGGCAGCGTCTGTAGGGATGTTCGATTAGCTGCTCAAAGAACACATGGCGACGAAGATGGCGGAATCAACCTGCGGTTAATCTTCAAAATATTGCAGGCTCAACATTTTCCCCCGAGCGCCGCTCCCAAGCCGATCCCCAAGAAGTTTCACATGTCTAAGATACGGAACGACCGATCCGAACGAGCAAGTCACCCCACATGTGCCATCAAAGGGAATGATCTGGAGGATGACGAGATCGAATCTATCTTACTAAAGAAATTCGGAGAGACCCTGTCAGAGGGAGCCATGATATGGTATCACAATTTACCACCTAATTCTATTGACTCATTTGCTATTCTTGTAGATTCTTTCGTAAAGGCACACGCCGGGGCCATCAAGGTTGAGATTAGGAAGTCGGACATTTTCAAGGTAAGGCAGAAGGACAATGAAATGCTCGGAGAATTTGTATCTCGATTCCAAATGGAACGGATGGACCTACCACCGGTCGCTGATGATTGTGCTGTCCAAGCTTTCACCCAAGGACTCAATGTTCGAAGCTCGGTGGCTTCGCAGCAGTTGAAGCAGAATCTGATAGAATACCCGGCTGTTACTTGGGCCGATGTGCATAATCGGTACCAATCAAAGATCAGGGTGGAAGACGATCAACTTGGGACTCCTTCTGGGTCTGTTTATCCTGTCAGACCCGTCGATAGAATCAAGAGATATATTGACCGAGAACCGAGATCGGTACCAGCCATATAATGGAGATCGTAGAAGCAGCGGATCTGGGCAAAATTCTGTGCGAAATGAAAGGAGAAGCGATCGAGGTCAGAGCTCTCGAGGGCTCATGAGCAAGAATATCTTTGACCGGCCTATGTGGACCTAAGAAAGCACCACGATTATTAGAATACAACTTTAATGTTGATGTGGCCGCAATCGTATCGGCTATCAGACGCATCAAAGATACCAAATGGCCTCGACCTTTACAAACCGATCCAGCCCAAAGAGATCCCAACCAAATGTGCAAATATCATGGAACTCATGGCCACAGAACGGAGGATTGTCAACAATTGAGAGAGGAAGTAGCCTGGTTATTCAACAACGGGCACCTTCGGGAGTTTCTGAGCGATCGAGCCAAGAATCATTTTAGAAACATGGATTCCAATAAACAAACCGAGCAAGAAAAACCTTAATACGTCATTCATATGATCATCGGATGGGTCGATGTTCCTCAAGGTCCGATGTTAAAGCGCACCAAAGTACCCATCACGAGGGAGAAAGAGACACGAGACTACATACCAGAAGGAACTTTGTCTTTCAACGACGAGGACGCAGAAGGAATCATGCAGCCCCATAATGATGCACTGGTAATATTTGTACTCATGAATAAATCTCGAGTTAAACGTGTGTTAATTGATCCGGGTAGCTCGGCCAATATCATTCGATCGAGGGTCGTAGAACAACTCGGCCTACAGGACCAAATCGTGCCTGCAGCCGAGTGTTAAACGGATTCAACATGACTTGTGAAACTACTAAGAGAGAATGACGTTACCGATAAATGCAGTCGGAACCATCCAGGAGACCACGTTTTACATGATCGAGGGAGACATGAGGTACAACGCCCTGTTCAGGAGACGGTGGATCCAACACATTAGGGTTGTGCTCTCGACCCTTCACCAGGTGTTAAAATTACCAACACGAGAGGGGATTATAACAATCTACGGGGAGCAACCCGCCACAAAGGAGATGTTTGACGTCAATGAAGTAATTCCGATATCAGCACTCTCATCGACAAAGGAGTCAGGTTCGAAAACAAAACGGGAAGCCAAATAGCAATCACCGATGCCGGCCTCGACCCAACCGGACAAGCAGGGGACTGATGAAGACGATGATTACGGTGCCTCGATCCTTTATAGTACCCGATGATTCCGACGCTACCAAATCAACAGTCTAAGAGTTGGAGCAGCTCATACTGATCGAACTTCTGCCCGATCGGAAGGCATACCTGGTCACGAGATCAACTCCCGAACTCAGGAAAAAACTCATTCAATTTCTTATAGCTAACATGGATTATTTTACTTGGTCCCATCTCGACATGACAGGGATCCCACCGGAGATCACTAGTCACAAGCTGAGCTTGGACCCTTTCGGTCAAGCAGAAAAGGAGACCCCAGTCCGAGATCAAGCATGCTTTCATCAAGGACGAGATAACTAAAATCCTTAAAATAGGGTCTATCTGGAAAGTCAAATACCCCGAATGGTTAGCAAACGTAGTAGTTGTCACGTCCGGATTCCCACCTTCGGGAGTCGTGATGGCGCTTACTCGTGAAAGCTAGGCAAGCCAACAATTACAGTTTTACCATTATTATTATTAACTCAAGCAGGAACAGATAATAACTAAAACAAAATAATTAGGAAATGCGGAAGTGATATAGCAATCCAACAATTCTAATACATAACTACCCCAACTGATCTGGTGTCACAATTCACGAACGACTAAGATTTACTACAAATATAAATCTGAAAGAAGTACAACTGTTCTCTAAATAGAAGAGACAAAAGAAACTAAAACAGGGAAAGGGGACTTCAGACTCTGCGAACGCCAAAAGATCTACCTTGGTCTCCCTAGACTGAAGGCAGTAACCTCAAATCTACTCACAAGGTCCGGCACCGAAATTTGCACAAAAAGTGCAGAGTGCAGTATCAGTACAACCGACCCCTTGTACTAGTAAGTGTCGAGCCTAACCTCAGCGAAGTAGTGACGAGGATAGGACACAACAACCATATAACCTGTGCAGTTAAATCATATACGAGCAGAACAATAATAACAGAAAAATATCCAGATAAAGATGGGAAGGGAAACATGCTGCGGGGGATATCACATTCTAACAGTAATTCAATAGAGAAGCAAAATGAACACCATATTTGTATAAACAGGGATAATGAAACAGTAAAACGTGCACGGCATCACCCTTCGTGCTTTTACTCTCGTCCTCACAATAAGAAACGGCATCACCCTTCGTGCATTAACTCTCACAATCATGGCACGGCATCACCCTTCGTGCATTAGCTCTCAAATCATGGCACGACATCACCCTTTGTGCATTAACACTCACAATATCGGCACGTCATCACCCTTCGTGCATTAACACTCACTCACAATATCGGCACGGCGTCACCCTTCGTGCTTTACACTCTTCCTCACCCAAACAATAGAAACAATACATCCCAGCAAGGGAATCAACAATAGAAACAATAACATCCCGGCAAGGGAATCAATAATAGAAACAATAACATCCCGACAAGGGAATCAACTATAACCAATCTCGTTTCAACAGTTAATTCCATGAAAGTCTCAACTTGAGTCAATACTCATCAATTATCAAATACTCAACAATATCATAAAACTTGCTCAACATAGAGAAACATCATTTTAAGCATGAACAATACATGATAAGAGACATAACGCTCACAATATAAGACTCACTTGCACGCTCAACATCAACATATAGATACTCGTCACCATGCCTATACGTCGAACTCAATACTGACACGTAGAAAATAAGACAACAACACCTATTCCCTCAAGCTAAGGTTAGACCAAACACTTACCTCGATTCCACGGCCAAAATCAAGCCTCAATTACCGCTTTACCTCCCGGTACCACTTCCAAGCCACTTGAATCTAGTCATAATTTACTTAATAACATCAATAAACGCTAAATAAACCAATTCTAATGCATGAGTATAGATTTCCCAATGTTTTCCCCAAAAAGTTAAAAACTGACCCCGGGCCCGCTTAGTCAAACCCCGAAGTTCGAACCAAAACCCGATTACCCATTCACCCACGAACTCAAATAAGCAACTGATTTTGAAATCCGACCTCAATTTAAGGTCCAAATCCCCAAAAGTCGAAAATCGTAATTTCTACCCAAGAACACCAATTTCCCATGAAAAACCCTAGATTTTGAAGTGAAATCAAGTAAAAAGATGAAATAGATTGAAGAAAAAGAGTTAAGATTCATTTACCTATGATTTGGGGAAGAACTTGCTCTAGGAAAATCGCCCTTCGGAGTTTAGGTTTTGAAATTTTGAAGAATGAAGTGAAAATCCCATCTAAAATCTCACTTAACAAGCTGCAGTTATCGCAATTGCGATCATTGCGAACCCTTTGAATTTACTGTTGCCTTCGCATTTGCGACACATATGTCGCATTTGCGACTTCTGGGGCCTTCTCAATTCCGGCCAAAGTTTCTCATTTGCGAGGTTGGCCTTCCCATGCCTTCTTCGCATTTGCGACAATATTGTCGCATTTCCCAGGCCAGCAGACTTTGCATTTGTGAAGCCTGATCTCGCATTTGCGATATCAGAGGCATGTGCAAAACACCAAATGCACATCTGAGTTTTCTTAAGTTCTAATCACTCTGTGGCCTATCCAAAACTCATCCGGGCCCTCGGGACTCCAAACCAAACATGCACACAAGTCTAAAAACATCATACGGACTTGCTCGCGCGATCAAATGCCGAAATAACATCTTAATCAACTAATTTG